GTAAGCATGTTTCTCATACCCTTCAAGAGTTTTTATTCCCTTATTCTTAAGGGGTGCCACTTTTCAAGAGGGTCCCTGACTGATTAAAAGAAAAATACTCCTCCCTGACAAGAGCTTTTTGAGACTATGAGCCCATTCCTGTATCAAAGACTTAGGAATTAGAACACAAACTATGAAATTCCGAGAAGAAAATGTAAGGTCAATACTCCAACATACAGGCATGGGCAACAACTTTCTCAACAGGACCCCAAAAGCTCAGGAAAGAATGCTAAGAGTTAATAAATGGGAAGGCATCAAATTAAAAAGCTTCAGCACAGCAAAGGAAGCAATTAGGAATATGAAGAGAGAATTTACAGAATGGGAGAAAATCTTCTGACAGGATTAATACCCAGAATATATAAAGAACTCAAAAAACTGAACACTAAAAAATCCAATTAATAAATGGATTAAACACTTTTCAAAAGAAGAAATACAGGGGCTGGAGTTGTGGCTCAGTGGAAGAGCATTTGCCTAGCATGTGTGAGGCACTGGGTTTGATTCTCAGCACCACGTATAAATTAATGAATAAAATAAAGGTCCATCAATATCTAAAGAAATATTTTTTTTAAAAAAAGAAGAAATACAAATGGCCAACAAATATATGAAAAAGTATTCAACATCATTAGCAATTAGGGAAATGCAAATCAAAACTACACTGAAAGTTCATCTCATACCAATCAGAATGGCAGTCATCAAAAATACAAATAGTAACAAAATGATGGAGAGGATGTGAAGAAAAAGGAACACTTTTACACTGTGGCTAGGATTGTAAATTAGTACAACCACTAAGGAAATCAGTATGGAGGTTCCTTCAAAGACAAGGCATAGAACCACTATGTGACCCACTCTACCACTCCTTGGTACTTACCCTAAATATTTAAAGTCGGCATGCTATAGCAATACATGCATACCCATGTTGATAGCAGCACAATTCACAATAGCCAAACTATGGAACCCACCTAGGTGTCCATCAATAAATAAACGGATATTTTTTAAAAATGTATTATACATACACAATGGAGTTATGGTCAGCTAAAAAGAAGAATGAAATTATGTTATTTGCAGGAAAATGGATGGAACTTGAGAATATGATGTTAAGCAAAATAAGACAAACTCAAAGTCAAGGGTCATATGTTTTCTCTTACATATGGAAGCTAAAGAGGAAAAAGGAAAGATCATGCTTGGGGGAGGGGGGAGTTCTCACAGAAATGAGCTGAGTAGCAGAAAGAGACCAGGAGGAGGGAAGAAGGGAGAGAAAAGGGAAATACTGGGAAATGATATTGGCCAAATTATTTTGTTATATTGTGTCATATACAAATATGCAACAATGAATCCCACCATTATATATCACTATAATGTACCAAGAAAATAAATACGGGCAGAAAAAAAGAGCCCATTCCAATTGTTTGCCTTTGTGATACTCCCACATAGATTACTTCAAAGGCATTTATTCAAAACTAAACTGATTTTCTACTAGGGTTTCCTACAGCAGATGCACAAGCTAGAAAAGAATCAGCCCATACAGCTTTCCCTTCTTACCCAGTGTCAACCTATCAGCAAGTCTCACTCATCACGCCTACATAGTCCTCAAATCTGACTTCTGCATCCAACTAAAGACCCAGAGTTATTTTTCATAAATACAGACCTGATAATACTACTCCCCTGGCTAAACTAGTCAATGGCTTCCCCCATTCTTAGGATAAGCCCTTTGTCCCTGGCATGGCTTACAAGACTTGCATGGTCTGACCCCTGCCTACCTCTGCAACCTCATCTCCTTAACTCTCTCCTTCCCTCTCTGTCCTCCATCTCCAACTATGAGTGTAAGCTCCATGACAGCAGAGACCATGCCTATTTGCTCACCACTGTGTCCTGGCACCAGACAAATAAATATATATATTGAGGAATCATGGTGTTAAAACAACTGTAGTATCTTAAGTGGAAGCAAGTGAATTATTAACTAAACTATACACAGTGGAAGGGAAAAGTCTTATACATGTTTGTGTAGGTAGCTAACACAGAGCTTGGACCATAATGGAGCTTTAAAAAAAATGTAAAATCAATTTACAAATTAGAGACAAATATGATGAAATATCAGCACATTACATCTATTTAGCTTTGCACTGCAGATTTTCACATGCTGATTAAGTCTCACATTTGGGTATTTATCCCTCTTTCCATCACAATCCCCTTCTGTGGGGAGGAGACTAAAGTCTAAACACATTCTTAAAGTAGAAGACTGGGCTCCAAGACAGAGCTAGAAAAAATATGGTTTGTGGAACTGAGTACATATTCTGAAAAGCAAATAAACCAAGACTGGGGAGGGGGAGGCGGGTATTGCTCTTATGATAAAGATCTCTGTATCACTTGGCAGCTGATCTTGCAACATTCTCCACCCTTTGGCCACACAGGTCTTCCAATAACCACAACATATAAGATCCTCTGACTTTCAAGGCTTCCCACATGACCTTCCCTCACTGTCACAGCTCTTTGCCCAATTGAATTCCAACTCAACCCCTGTGATCTCAACTAAATATTATTTAGACATCTATTAGAAACAGTTCTCACACCTGTCTCTCCCAACTCCTTCCCCGATGTTAGCTAGGTATTCTCATGGCACCCTCTACTGTCCTCCACAGAAGGTACAACAGTAATGAATTTAGTTTTAATGACACGTTTACTGTCTCTTGTTAAAATCTTAAAAACAAGGGCTGTATCTGTTTTGGTCATCACTATATTCCAAACACCTAGCACATTGCTGGCACACAGCAGGTAAAAAGTATCTGTTAAATAAGGAACGGAGGTTAGGAGTGTATTTCAATGGTAGAGCAGTTGCCTAGCATGCATGAGGCCCTGGTTCACCAAAAATCAAAAAGAAAAAAGGGGATGAATGCAATACGTTGATAATCAGGTTTTACAGTGACATGGAATTGGCTCTGCCCTTACTATCTCTGTACCTGTGTAAAAGATTCTTATAAACTCTCAGCCCACTTTCTTCATCTATAAATATAGTAGTTCCTATTTTACAAAGGTAAATTACATAAAGTATTTAGCATGGTGCCTGGTCATAGCAAATGTTTAATAAATATTACCTATTACAGGTTGCGTATCCCTAATGCAAAAATCTGAAATGTTCCAAAATCCAAACCTTTTTGGTACCAACACAAGGAGAAAATTCCACCTCTGACCTCATGTGATAGGTCACAATAAAAATAGAATACTGACCTACTGCAGCAGTCATGTGCATGCCAGGCTTGCTCCAGAACTGGTGGTTCAGGCTCCTTTTACTGAGCAGTACACCTGAATCCTATTCTGTTTTATTCAGTTTGAAAGGAAGTCGGAAGACAGCAATTTGTGATGGGTAAATGCTTTCCTTTAAATGTTAAGGTCATTTGTTTTGTACTGGTTGTTATTGAGTCAGTTTAAATATATTCTGGTTAAATGCCAGAGAATTTTAAAATTTTTTTAAGTTTTTAAATTTTAAAGTTTAAACCACCTGTCAAATAAGGACTGCCTGCCTACTTAGTACAACCCACTCGTGTTATACTAGTTTCCCCTACATAACACAGCCACTGACTCTTAGGGAGCCTAAACATCACAATAACAAATATTTAGTTCATTTATCTGCTAAAGAAAATATTAAACTTTTACACATTTTAAATAAGTGTCATTATCTTTATTTGGTGGAGGAACTAAAGCCCAAGATAGACCAGTAAGTAGAGGGAAGCACTATTTCAATACAAGCCAGAACCATTATGTGCTAACGTTGTATTTGAATAGGGAGATTTTTGTAGGAGATTCATTATTTGTTCCCAAATTATTAAGTTCAAGGATGATTGTTTCAAGGACTTAATTGTGTGATCATGAAGTATTTTTACACACATTCAGGCCATTAGCACTAGAAGATGAAGTTCCTAGGTCTCTGTGATCCAAGTTGCTAAGATCAACTTATCTTCAAAGGATGAATTTACTCCCATATAGCACATAAACACTCTATGATTATTTGTTTAAAGAACTTAACGTAACATGATAGAACCAAGTGTGTCATAATGAGGACAGCATTAATTTGAGGATCTGAAATTTTGGGTTTGAGTTTCAGCTCTGCTGTTTATTACCACTGTGATCTTGGTTAAGTTACTTGAGTTCTCTAATCTATAAAACTATATTTTTGCTCGTCTATAAAACAGGAGGATTGCCAAGTGCAGTGGCACACACCTGTAATCCCAGCAGCTCACGAGGCAGAGACAGGAAGATAGTGAGTTCAAAGCCAACCTTGGCAAAAAGTGAGGTGCTAAGCAACTCAGTGAAACCCTGTCTCTAAATAAAATACAAAAAAAAAAAAGAGCTGGGTCATCTAGCATGTGTGAGGCCCCTGGGTTCAACCCTCAGCACCACATAAAAATATAAATAAAGGTATTGTGCCCAACTACAACTAAAAAATAAATATTAAAAAAAAACAGGGGGGGCTGGGGATGTGGCTCAAGTGGTAGCACGCTCACCTAGCATGTGTGAGGCACTGGGTTCAATTCTCAGCACAACATAAAAATTTAAAAAAATATATATATTGTGTGCACCTAAAACTGAAAAATAAATATTTAAAAAAAAAAAAAAATAGGGCTGGGGATGTGGCTCAGTGGTCAAATGCCCCCTGAGTTCAATCCCCAGTACCAAAAAAAAGGAGGGCTGAACTAGGTAATCTATAGAGATTTATTAAACTCCAGTTTCATTGGTGTAATGAGTAGACATCTGTGTCCTATGGAAGAATTTGAAAGCTAATATTGGTTTCTTGGAACAGTTTCCATGGGTGTGACAATTGCTTTAATTATCCAAAATCTTTCAAGTTAATTATCCAAAATCTTTCAAAATCTTTATTTTCTTTTTCCATGCCAACTAAAATTGGGATTATTGTCATTACTGGATTGAGCAATAAACAAATGCTAAAATTAAAAAAAAAAAATACTTACCTTCCAGCCATGAAGGTACACGTGAAATATAAATGAAGCCGGGCGCAGCAGGACACACCTGTAATCCCAGCAACTGCAGAGGCTGAGGCAGGAGGATCACAAGTTCAAGGCCAATCTCAACATCTTAGCAAGACCTAAGCAATTAAATGAGACCCTGTCTCAAAAAATAAATAAATAAAATAAGCTGGGAGCACATTTAAATGGTAAAGTGTCCTAGGTTCAAACATCAGTACCTCCCCCCCCAAAAAATAAATGAATTTTGTTTCAGACTTGGATCGCATCCCCAAAGACATCTCATTATGTATATGCAAACATCCAAAAATTTTTTGAAAATCAAAACCCAAAACACTTCCGGTCCCAGCATTCCTGATAATGGACACTCAATCTGTATTACTATTAAATAGTTTAAAAGGGGCATAAATGTTAGAAAAGGCATATTCCACACTCTTTACTAGGACACAAATGTAACTCCCTTTATGCAAACCCATAGTTGCAAATTTGAATAAAACAAATTATACATATATAAATTGTATATTTATATATAGTGTGTATATATAATAATATATATTAAAAACAGTAGAGGAAATTGATTGTTTTATTCAACCATAAAATTCAGAGATGGAGCAAGGTATGATCACTTTGATTAGGGTTTCAGCTTAATTTCTCTGAGATCGTCTTCACAGTCTTCCATGTACTGGCTCTTCAGACTGTCTTCTTTTCTGACAACAGGATGACTTCTAAGAGTGTCTAGGCCATCTGTTATCACTGAACTGAAGTCCTAAACTTCACCCTGAATGGACAAGCCATTTGCCTATCCTAGAATCACTCTGTCCAAGTTGTTGCCATGAACTGATTGACCAGAACCAAAGTTATATTCCTTCAGTGAGAATCTGTTAAGCCAAAAACTTCCTTTCCCCAAATTCCTCACGACTATGACTTTGACATACGACTTCAAACATACATTTTAAATAGTCATTGACCACATGTTTCCATCAATGATGTGCCATGTATATGATGATAGTCCCATAAGATTATATATCACTTAGTAATGTCAAAGCTGTCCTCGCTTATGTAAGAACACTCTCTGATGTTTGTATAATAGTGAAATCACTTCACAATGCATTTTTTCAGATATATCCTATTGTTAAGTTACACATGACTGTATACTAAAAAAAAAAAAAAAATCCCAAGGGCCTGGAGGTATAACTCAGCAGTGGAGTGATTGTCTAGCATGGGCAAAGCCTTGAATTCGATCACTGTGGGGGAGGGGGGGCATGCGTGGCCACCACATCTGAAACAGATCTACTTATAAAGCCAAGAATCTTTCTGGATATTAAGTGCTGTGTACTAATTTCTCTGGCTTTCACATTTTCATGTGCACTGTCAGGTTTCATGTACAATGTTAAAAATTATTACTTCAGGCAGCAGGGTTCAAAACCTGGGCTTCACAATCTACAGGACCTCAGTCCAGCTACATCGTCCTCACAGGACATTCAGACAAGGCAACTGACTTTGCCTTTAAGATAACTGCCTGGTAGGAAGTTCCACATCTCAATAAGAAAATGTCCCTCCCTTTGGTGTTTTCAGCATCCCAGCATCAACCTCCCCACCCCCTAACCCCACTTCCTAGTACACACTATGTTCTCCAAAACCTACCTCCAACTTTGTTTTTGTCCCCTCAGCTTTTCTTACTTTTAACCCGTCTGTTCTTCAAATTCTTCATCCATAAAAATGGAACTAAACCAGTACTTCCTTCTTGTATAAATAACACAATGGAAGCCATAAACTAACACACAGTAACTATTGTTTAAGTGTTCCTAAAGATCCCTAGTCAGCCTACAACTGAGAAAAAAAAAATTAAAGAATCTTTTCAATGACATAATTTTTTTCAGAGTCCATGTTTTTTTAGAATAAAAGAAACTTCAACTTACTCCATTTAGAGTAATGAAGTAAAATGTAAGATCCCAAAGAAGCGCCAAATGTTACAAAGGGAGAAGAAAAACTAACAAATTAGGTAGCTCATTGTTTCTTAAGAAATATTATTTCAGCAAAACATACTTGATGTATACTTTTTTTTAATGGTACTGGGGATCAAACCCAGGACCTCACACATGCTAGGCAAGCGTTCTACCACTGAACCATATCCCCAGGTCTCTTATTTTTTTATTTTGAAACAAGGTCTCGATAAATTGCCCAGGCTGGCCTCAAAATTGCAATCCCCCCACCTCAGCCTCCCAGTAGATGGGATTACAGGTGTGTGCAATATACCCAGCATATATCCATTTTTTCTTTTAGGTGTTGATGGACCTTTACATTTATTTATTTATATGTGGTGCTGAGAATCGAACCCAGTGCCTCACACATGCTAGGCAAGTGCTCTACCACTAAGCTACAGCCCGAGCCAGCATATATCCATTTTTATAATGCAAGCCCCATAAAGCAAGCCCCCACAGCACTACATGGCCTTCAGCCCACTGTTAATTCAGAAGCCTCACCATGTTATTCTTTCTTTCTCTCTTCCTTTCATACATTAATGTTGCCCAGTCAGACCTCCTGGGCTCAGACAATCCTACCTGAGCCTCCTGAGAAGGTGGGACTACAGACTCCACCAGTGTGCCTGGCATTTAGGGGTAGTGCATGCTAGGGATGGAACCCTGGGCCTCCAGCATACTAGGCACCTTCTCTACATAGAGCTAAACCTTATTATTTTTCTTTTTTCTTTTTTGGTACCAAACCTAGGAATATTTTACAACTGAGTTACAATCTCAGCCCTTTTCATTTTCTATTTTGAGACAGGGTCTCACCAAGTTGCCCAGGCTGGTGCTGAACTTGAGCCTTGTATGACTCAGCCTCCCAAGGAGTTGGAACTATACCACACTTGGCCAGACCTTAATTTTTTAATGTAATCTCTTTAACAAAGACCTATTCAAAGGCAACTTTTGTACCTGAATAAGCACATATTTTTGCAAAGAGGTGTTTATCTAAAAACCTGCCTCCCTCACTAAATTACAATTTAGTTTCCATAACTCTCCTGTAAACACACAGTGATACCACCTACTTATGTGTTGAGGAGGAAGAAAATTATCTTTTTAGCCAGTCCAGTGTATGCTCAAAAAGGTTAGTCCCCCTCCCTGTGAAGAATCCAGCCTAATTCCATTTTAAGATTGGGAGCCATATTATCACAAAGCCATGAAAAGTTGATTTGTGTTTTACTATAAATTACTGCGATTTCTAAACTTGTTTGGAATTCCTGCCTGTGCCTTGAACTCACCCATGCCTGGTTTTCCCTGACCAGATAACAACCCTCTCTAAAACCTTAGTGACGCCTCATAAATTCTGATGTTGGGATCTGAATTTACTTCCTACCTTGAACTATCATGAGGTGAAAATCATTAATTGCCTTTGTATTATGCTTGTCAAAATCCTGTTATCTGTAAGTTCTCAAGACACCCCCCCCCCCTTTGCAACTTTTGTACTATAAAATCATATTCCTGGAAAGCTGGGGGACTGATCTCTAAATCGGGTTTTCAGGAGAGACAGTCCTGGCCAGCTCCAGTGTACACAAATATAAGTTTGCTTTAATTTGATTTAAAATTGGAGTCAGTGCTCTTTTCTTTTCGTCAGAGTTCAACATCTGCCCTGTGAAAAAAGTAGATATTTCTTGCTAATTCAAACTCCATTACTAAGCTAAGGATCCCCCTTTCCACCTGCCACTTATCTAGAAACTGATACTCGCCCTCCCTCCCCCCAATATATGTACAGGTTGGAAGACATGAAAAACACTTCCTGGCAATTCCACTAAGAGAAGCAAGTATACGTTCACTAAGCACATGCATCACTGAAACCTAAGTTACTTCAAGAGTAACCAAACAGTGCTGCACGCCTGCAGTCCCAGCTACTGGGGAAACTGAGGCAGAAAAATCGCTTAAGCCTGAGCTCAGGAGTTGGAGGTCAGCCTAGGCAACTAAGCGAGACCCTGACTCGAAAGAGAGAAAGAGAGAGAAAGGGGGGGGGGGAGGGAGGAAGGGGAAAAAGATATCTTCTCAATCTCAAATAACTATACCAAAGGCTTGGGAACTGAAAAGAGAATGAATTCCACGGGCACCATTGTTGTGTACCTACTGTGTGCCAGCCACTAAGCTAAGGACCTTACAAGAGCAATCATACTTACACTTCACCATAGCCTTAACAGTGTGTGTGTGTGTGGGGGGGGGGGGGGTTTAATTCCCCCCGGAAACAACAGAAAAAAAAAAAAAAAACAGGCGCTAGGAGTTAAAGACCTCTGTCCACCGTTGCACAATCAGCACCAACTGGAGAAATAAGATATTTAAGACAGTCATTCCCATAAAGGTTCAAGAGTCAATATTCTCCCCTACCTTCTCCTTTGCTAGTTCTAACTCTCCGTCCCTAGGCTAAAGTACCACCAACCTCCGGTGCCTCTGCCCCGCGTCACACCACCTGCACACGCTGCTGCAGGAGCTCCGACCCGCCGGTGTGGGAATTTGGAGACAGACCCTAGCCCAGCCGACTTCGGTTGCCTTTTACACACACCGCCTTCGCGGAGGGGTGGGCGGGACCTTCTCCTCACTACTTCCGCTCCCGGCTAACGAAAACCAACGCCAGACCTCGGCTACCGGGCAGGGCCCCCCCACCTAGCCCACGAGACCACGCCAGACACAGGACTTCAGTGTCCCAACTGAGCTTTCCTTCAAAGTTGGCCCCGCGGGGTTACGGAATCCACGTGGGACCGGCGCGCCCGCTCGGGGCCCGCAATCTTCGCTCGCCCACCACGCCGCTTCCCACCCCTCCCACGGGAAAGTGTTCTTTCACTCGAGTCCGGACACACAGAGCACCTCAGCCCAGGACAAACCCCTGTCACTTTTATCGCAAAGGTTTCTTCCTCCCGCTACCCTACCAGGTTGCCGGAGAGCCCACAGTGTGTTTCACGCTCCCGCCTCGGAAGTGACGTAAACTCAGAGGTCCGGACCAATCCTAGTGTTTAGGGTGCGCATGCGCCTACGGACGTGAGCCGCTACCAAAGTGTAGAAAATCCGAGGAGGAGTCTCCTGCTTGAGCACCTTCCCTTTATCTTCCGGAGGGGAAACTTATAAGTTTATCGTTTGGGTTCCGAGGGCTTTGGGGGAAAGAAAAAAGTTGGGGAATTTATGCTACAGTTATGGAGATATTGTAAAGTTGTAATGATGAGAACAGAGTGATATTGACTAAAAGGAAAAAAGGCCAATGAAAAAGAAGAGAGAAGCCAGAGACCGACCCACCCAGGCAGTCACAGCACCATCAACTAGGAAAGTTCAATAAATAGTGCTAAGTTCATTGAATGTCCACTGGGAGAAAAATGAACCTTGACTCCTACCCCCTGCAAAAGAATCAACTCTAGACAGTAACTAGCAGAATATTGCAACTAGGAAAAAGGAAAACCCTCCTCAGCAGAACCTAAAACCACCAATTCTAAACCTATTTATCCGTGGCAAATTGCTGGTAGTTAAATTTGAGACGTTGCAAGACACCATTAAAAAGGCAAGCAATGGAACAGATCTTTGTAATGCATTTACCTGAAAACGACTTATTTAGAATCTATAATTCTCGCAAAAAAAAAAAAAAATTTTTTTTTTTTTAAAGACCTGATTGGCAGAAGAGGAAGGCTGGAAAGAGTCTGTTGGAGAGAAAAACTGAGGGGGAATTTTCATTGTTCAAAATTTGAAAGATGGCCAAAGTATGTAAGTTGAAAACCTCCCTCTCTGTTTTCCGTCACCCAGTTCCCCTCCCGTTGGCAACAATATGTGACTGCGGAGCTCTTGTCTTCATGATTAAGCAATTATGTATATATTCAGTATCCCCCCTCTTGTTATACAAACAGAAGCATACTGTAACTCCTCTGTTTCTTGCTTTTATTCGCTTTAGCCAATATATCATGGAAATACAGATATCCACAAAAAATTGGAAACAGGTAAATTTTATTTTTAACTACACATTATCCACATTTTCAAAAATACGTTCAGTATGTTTTTCTCTGACATACTGAACGTCTGATAGTCACAGACATTTATGTGCTGTTCTGGAAACTCTAGATGACTGTTTTTCAGTTCACATAGTTCATATATCCAAGTAACAAACCCAGCATGATTCTTCCTGCGAAACTGGGCCATCCTCTAAGAGTTAATTTCCCAGACCCAGGGTCTTCTTAACCAACCCGCACTTTACTTCTGCTTGGAGTTTGATGTAGAAGCAAAAAAATAAATTCTGATGATTTTGTAGCCAATTTGGATTGGATCTGTAAAATGTCAAGTTAAGAACTTTAACTTCCTAGGCAGGGTATTATAGAATAGAACCAGTAGCACAGTAGCACAGTATCTCAACCTTCTGTGAAAACAAGAAGAGGGAGTAGACACACATTTCCCTATTTCTCTCACTAAATACAACTATGAACCTTGGATATCATATATAAAACAAGCATAAGAAGACTGAAAGGTGGGGGAAAGGTAGACCAGCTAGAAACCTCAGGAACTAAAATACAAACAACATGATAGTAGTTTCTTCATATATCACAGACAGGGTCCTGGAGGAGCAGACAAACTGGAAATGTCAACGGGCACAGATAAAGCCTCAAGAAAAACTGCTCTCCTAACCCAAAAAGGTAAACTCGGAGAAAGTCATGCCAAGACACTTCAAAATAAAATTGACAAAAGACAAACATCTTGTAAGAAGCCAAGAGAGAAATTATGCAGTACTTCTAACAACAAAAAAAAAACAAAACAAAAAAAAAATTGTGCCGGGCACGGTGGCACACACCTGTAATTCCAGCAGCTTGGGCAGTGAGGCAGAAGGATCTTGAGTTCAAACCCATCCTCAGCAATGGCAAGGCGCTAAGCAACTCAGTGAGACCCTGTTTCTAAATAAAATACAAAAAAAAGGGATGGGGATGTGGCTCAGTGGTCAAGTGCCCCTGAGTTGAATCCCAGTACCCCCTCCTAAAAAAAAGAATATAGAAAAGAGAAATGTCTCGAATCAAATGAACTTAAATAGATAAATAAATAAAGGCAGAGCAAAATAAATGGAAAGGAAGCAGAAGGAGGGAGATAATAAAGCTAGAAATTAGCAACATTTAAAACAGAAAAATGGGGCTGGAGGTGTAGCTCAGTGGTAATGGAACAAACTGAATTTGCCTGCTACCCTCCTCCGAAATGGGGAATGGCTTCCTCATGCTGAGAGTGGAGACTGGAGAGGCTGTGACTACCTCCCAACTGTGTCTTCAATGGATTCCTCCATCGCTAACATTCTCTCTTTTGGTATACTGAATTCTAAAGAAAGCCTTCTTAATACTTTTTCTTCTCTCAGTTAAAAAGAATCATGTTTATCTAAAAGGAAAATGCAGATGCTGGCCTCAGAAGTCCTCGCTCCTTTTGATCTAAGGAGGTTCCTGGGACTCCTTACAGTCAAACCTGTGAGACACTTTTCAGGGCCAAGGATGTAGAACCTGTAAAACTCCAGTGTTCTGTCCTAACACATTCCTACCCCTCTTAAAAGCTTTCCTCATCCCTGAGATTTTCAGACATGGAACTTTTGAAACAATGAAGCTTCTTTCATCTTCCTTCAAAACTGACTTTTGAATAAAACCTCTTTTCCTACCACTACGATTCCAAATATTTACCAACAGTGAGCATTACAGCCTAGCTCCTAGGACCTATGTTACCCAGTAAGCAAAGAGTGCTCGCCAAGCGTGTGCAAAGCCCTCAGTTCCATCCTCAGCACTGCAAATATAAATAAGGAGGGAGGGAAGGAAGGAAGAGAGGGAGGGAGGAAAACTAAGCATACAATCTAACCCAGCAATTGTATTTATCCCAAAGAAATGAAAACTTATGAACAGACCAAAATCTAGAAACAATTATTCTTAGAAGCTTTATGTGTATTAGACAAAAACTGGAACCTACCAAAACATCCTGTAGGGTTAAACAAACTGTGTAATGTTAGGGGACAGACAGATGAGGATGGTGGGAACATGAGATTTAAGAGAATAATTCTATAAAATGGGCCCATTGTGCTGGACCCTACATGTTCTCTTTTCCGAGAAACAATTTACCTACAGCCCAGCCTGGTCTACTAAGTCACATTCCTCAGCAAACTACCTGTTAACTCAGGAGAAATTTGCAGGCCCCAAATGATGTTGATAAGAGGAATCCAAGTTACCCTGAATGAGGAGACTTTTGTGACCAGATCTCAAAACTCTAGGAGAAAAGGATAGTTCCTTGAACCATAAAATCTATAAGAATGTATGGTTAAGAATCCAGTTAGAGGGGCCAGAGTTGTGGCTTAGTGGTAGAGTGCTTGCCTAGCGTGCTTGAGACATTGGGTTCGATCCCTGGCACCACATTAAAAAAATAAATAAATAAAGGTATTGTATTGTGTCCATCTACAACTAAAAAAAAAAGTGTTAAAAAAAAAAAAAAGAATCCAATTAGAACTGGGAATGTGGGGGCTCTGGAGGCTGAGGCAGGAGGATCTTGAGTTCAAAGCCAGCCTCAGCAAAAGCGAGGCCTAAGCAACTGAGTGAGACCTTGTCTCTAAATAAAATACAAAATAGGGCTGATGTTCAATCCCTGGTACCAAAAAAAAAAAAAAAAATCCAATTAGAACCAGTCAGCATGGGCCAAGGTGCCCCACGGTTACCATGACCCTGGGGACTTGAAAGTCTGATGTCACCCCACTATCAGTCAAAAGTCAGAGATGGACCTGGACCTGGGTGGGATTTTCTGGAAACTTCTCTGGGATCCCAATAAAACTGGAGGGCAGGAGAATCACACTATTCTTCTCCTGAGAGGACCCACTTTCTTCCTTGAGAGTGTCCCCCTTCCCTTTCCCATCCCTTCAATAAACTCATGCCTGTTACTCTGAGAGACATGTCTGAAACCTTTCTGACTTGATCGCAGGAATTGGGGTTTGAAGGGGGCTCTTCACACTGCCTGAGTTTCTCGGAAGTCCCCAGCTCTGTAACAACACTCATGGAATGCTACTCAGCATCAAGAAGGAAATAACTATTTATACATACTATAATTTGGATGAATGTCAAGGGCATTATACTGAGTGAGGAAAAAATCAATCTCAAAAGGTTGCATACCTATAATTCAGGGTTTTTTCCCCCAAGGGTTGAGGACAGAATTCAGGGCTTTGCATATGCTAGGCAAGCGCTCTATCACTGAGCTAAATTCTCAAACCCCTCTATAATTCCATTTGTACGGTGGAGTTTTTTATGGAGGGGGTAGTTGAACTCCAAGGTTACTCTATCACTGAGAAGTCCTTTTTATTTAATATTTTTGAGAAAGTGTCTCCTTAAGTCACCCAGGCCTGCCTCAACTTCCTGAGTTGCTGGGATTATAGGCCTGTGCCATCATCATGCCTTGGCAATATAGCATTCTTGAAATTTTATTTAGTGGTTGCCAGGGGTGAGGGATGAGGGCAGAGGAGAATGACTGCCACCACAAAGGGGCAGCAGGAAGAAGATCTTTTGTACACAAGTGAACATAAA